ACCCTGAGCCCCTAACCCCTAAACCCAAAACCCGTAAGCCCTACACCCTAAGCCCTGGACCCTGAACCTGCTTTAAGGTCTTAGCCAAGAACGTCCTGGACTCTGCTGTATCCTGCCTGGTCTTCGCAGTAGCTTCGGGGCGGGGTCGCTCGCCTGCAGCAGGGCCGCCAGACAGACGGAGGATTTTGGGTTTAGGTGTGAGGGTTTAGAGCTTAGGGTTCACGGGCTTAGGGTTCAGGGTTCAGAGGTTCAGGGCTCTAAGAAAGGGCCCTCCGGGGGTCCCTGGTGTAGGCTTGGGCTTCTAGGGTTTGGGTTTAGAGGTGGCTTCGAGTTGGGCGGTTCTGAGGTTTAGTTCTCCGGTGGGATCGGATGAGGGATGAGGGCTTGCGGGGGTTTCCATGTCGCAGCGTTTTGCGCTTGGCATTGAAACACTTCGTAGTTGAGGTGTTTGTGACGGTTCATGATTAAGGGTGTGCGAAATGGGAGCTTCAGAAAATTAGGGGTACCTTTTTGGGGTCCTTATAATAGGGATCCTATTATTTAGGGTACTATATCAGGGTCCCTATTTTCGGAAATCCCCAAATGGCGAAATGTTGGTTTGGTCTCCATGTGCCCAGGTTTCAGCTTGTACTCGTAACTGTCCTCATGGCAGCCTTCTGGCAGCCTGGCGCCGGCAACATGCACATTACCAGGTACAGCCAATTCGGAGCACAGTCACACGCTCAACCTGCTCAAACTTCGCTGCGCAGTAAAATCTTCCGGGAATGAGAGGTCTCCGGTTTTGAATATAGAAGACAGATCCAATGGCAGAGACTAACGAAGACGTTCTGAGCCTCTTGTGACAAAATTCCTAGTCTCTTCCGGGTGGAGGAGAACATGGAAAAGCTTGAATATTTGCCAACACTATCGCTTAGAGTTCCTTATTATAAGTAGCCATATGCAATAAATATAGCCCCAAATCCTGTTCTAATGAGTAAGACCCCCTATAGTAGGGAGAAGCAACATACAGCAGGATACTGATCCAAGAAGGGAGAAGGGCCGACCGCCCTGAACCCAAAGCCCATCTGCTAATCTGAAGCTTTGCACCACCTTATGCTACTTTGAGGTTCATGGGTAGTCATAAGTGGGGTTTATGGGTTTCCTTCAAGGGTTCCTTTAAAAGGTTCTATAGGGTTTAGGATTTAGGGGCAGTTATAAGTAGGGCTATAAGTCCTCTAATATTGGTTCTAAGTATAGTTACCCTACTTAACACCCCATTTATAACGACCCATGAACCCTAAACCCTAAACTCTAAACCCTAAAACCCTAAACCCTAAACCCTAAACCCTAAACCCGAACTAAAACCCCATTTATAACTATCCATGATTGTTGGACCCTTCCTGCCCCCTCTCACCAAAGGACTGTGGGAATCATCTCTGGTTCTGGATGCCGATGGCTTCAAGATGCATCTGGGCTTTGCAAGTTGCAAGGGGTTTGGGGTTTAGGGTTTTAGGGTTTAGGGTTTGGGGTTTCGGTGTTTTTGGTGTAGGGGCTTAAATAATTACCAACACTATTTTGGGCTTTCCTGATTATAGTTGTAGTAGAATGGGCCCGTGAGCCCTATACCAGTTTTTGAGGCCCCCCCCTACATTCAGCTTTCAGGTTACCTTAGGGTTCAGGGTTCCAGGTTGCAGGTTTCAGGGTTTAGGGTATCACAGGTTTGGGCGATCTTGGTTATAGACCTTTGCAGGCCTCGCAGGCTCACGATTGCAGATTTTTGTATACTTTCAGAGTTTTTGCTTTAGGCCACATAGGCTCGAATGGCAAAATCACGGGCAGTGCACGCCAAGGTCCATCTCAGAAGCGCTGCATTGTCTTTTGAGGTTCGAAAAGAGACCCTGTTTCAGAGAATTGCGAATGAAATAGCACAATCCCTTGAGGGCACAAATAACTGAGTACCTGCGCACGGTCATATAGACCGGCATCAAGGGGTTCTTATGACAGAACGACGGTAGATAGTCGGCAATGCCCATTTTGTGTATTGTTCGTTGTGCACTACAACAACACGCTGATTCCTCGCATCCTTGTTGATGGGCGAAAGTCGACCTACGAGGAAAGTTGTTGGAATTAGGGCTGTATGAGACACTTGTGTAGTGCCGTGGCATGCTACCTATCTTGAGCTGGAAACGGCTTGTGTGGCGCTGGCCCCTGCATTGACCATGGCTGTACTGAGCACGCTGCATTGATTCTAGAACGTGGCTGTGCTCCGACAAGTTTTGTCCTACACTGGAATCCCACTCCGAAGCATATAAACTAAACCCTAAACCCCTAAACCCTAAACCCTAAACCCAAAGCCCTACCAGGCTTGTCAAGTTCCAAGGTACGACATGCAGCTCTACCATTGGGCCTTCTGCGCGACCTGCGCTTTGGCGAGCATTCACCTGTGTCGTATCTTTCTCTCGTGTCTACGGGCCGGGGTTTGGGTGTGCTACGCATCAACACCAATCCTCGACCTACAACCCATCAAACCCCAACCCCCATCTCCTCCTGCTGTGTACCGATCGAAACACATAGAAGTCTAGGTTATTACCAATAGTATTTTGGGATTCCTTATTATAGTTGTAGTCTACAATATCCCCCAAAACCCGATTCTATTTATTAAGGCATAATGTTTTTCATAACATAAAAAATATATTATAGTCTACAATATCCCTCAAAACCCGATTCTAATTATTAAGGCCCCTTCATCACCCTAAACCCTAAACCCTAAACCCTAAACCCTATAAACCCTAAACCCCTAAACCCTAAACCCTAAACCCATCACCCAGGTGTCACCATCTGCAGCGGCTCCATGGCAGAGCGAACTCACATCATAGGCCCGGCGCTCTTGGATTCGAAGGTTAGAAGTATGGGCCCCGGCCTCTCTAGGGTCCCTTAAGGGTATATATAGGGTTTTTAGTAGGTATATCGGGGTCCCAGAGTTAAGGGCCCATACTAGGGGCCCATGGGTTCTACCTTAGACTAAACCCGGAACGAGGGGCCCTGCACCCGCAGGCTCTGATTGCCTTTATGGCAACTGCACCTTTCAAAACTATTGAGGGTACACGACGT